ATAATAAATAGCTTTAAATAATGGCCTCGGTGATAAAAGAAATAGAGTCGTCCCTATTTTTAAACAATAAATTGCCTTTGCTATCATCGAGGGCTTAACTATGGTTATTTCACAGACACACACCTGTAAAAACCAATGATACCATCCCACTTGGGTTAGCCTTGTTAGAATCACAGAATTGTTGAACCAGTTTTGGGGGTAGAGTGGTCTGTAGAGATTTAGAAACTTGTACGCTATGTTAGAATTTCCATGTCTCGGCTAAGAGATTCTGTGCAGTTTAAGTGTGCTGGTGGAGGGGAGCGATGTGTGTGCATAGAGAATTCTTCTCCCTGTCAGGGCAAAGTCCTTCTATGCGTGCCCAGAAAAGTAAAGATAGTGTGTTCTGGAAATTTTAAGTATAGTTCAGTGGGGCCGTGGAATGGGTAAGTGAGAACAGCAAGAGATGCGAGATGAGATTTTTGTTTTGTGGTAGACACCCTTCAGAATAATTGGGAATACTATTGAGGGGGGTTGGAATTAGAACTATTGCTTTTTTAAACAGTTTACAAATACTAAGAATCAAAACCATAATCACAGTTTGTTCTGGGTTTAAGCCTTGTATAAGCAGAAGGAGAATCTTTGATAAGATCTAAAATCAATTTCACATGAACTACTTAGAAGCTCACAGTGCCTGGAGCTTAACTGAATTGTCTCATACATTTGCATTTCTCCTAGGTGCTGCTTATGCTCATGCAGAAGAGAGTATCAGGAAATTGGTTGAGCAATGTAAATTGCCATTTTTGCCAACCCCCATGGGAAAGGGTGTTGTCCCTGACAACCATCCAAACTGCGTCAGTGCAGCCAGATCCAGGTGTGTGGGATTTCTGATTTTAAATACTATAGCTTGGCAGATTTTTGGCTAATGTATTTTCTGACCTTAATGACTCTAGAGAGAAGTTTGAAAGAATTGTGTAAAAAGGATCAGGAGACAAATTTAAGCATGCCTGTTTTGTTTTTTTTTTAAGACTTTTTGGCACTTTAAAGATGTAGTTCCATTATTTTCTGGCCATCATGGTTTCAGATAGAAATCCATAGTCATTCATGTAATTCTTCCTTTACATGTACTGTGTCACTTTTTTTCTGACTTCTTTATCTTTGATTTTCAGCATTTTGTTTATGATCTGTCTAGACATGTTTTTCATTGAGTTTATCCTATTGAGTTTATCCTATTTGGAGTTCTTTAATCTTCTAGGATCTGTTAATTTATGTTCTTCACTAAATTTGGAAAATTTCTTCAAAATTTTTTTTTCTATACCACTCTCTTCTCTCTTTCTGGGAGTCCTATGTCACAAATATTAAACAAAAAAAAAACCCAAACTCACTGCCGTCAAGTCGGATCTAATTCATAGTGACTTCTCTTTGGGTTTCCGAGGCGGTATCACTACAGAAGTAGATTGCTCAACCTTCCTTCGAAGGAGTGGCTAGTGGGTTTGAACCACCAGTCTTCTGGTTAGCATCAAGTGCCTTGGGCACTGCATCACCAGAACTCCTGTCACAAATATTAGACCTTTTGGTATTATCCCATGTTGTTTTGGGTGCCGTCAAGTTGATTTTGACTTATAGTGACCCCACGTGACAAGGTAGAACTGCCCTATAGGGTTTGCTAGGCTGTGATCTTTTTGAGAGCAGATCACCAGGTCTTTCTCCCACAGAGCCACTGTGGTTAAATTTGAACCACCAGCCTTTCAGTTAAGAGCTACATGTTTAACCATTGTACCACCAGGGCTCCTTTAAAACAAAAACAAAAAAACCAAACCTATTGCTGTTAAGTCAGATCTGACTCATAGCAACCCTGTAGGACAGAGTAGAACTGCCTTATAGGGTTTCCAAGGCTGTAATCTTTACAGAAGGAGCTCTAGTAGCATAGTGCCTAAGGCACTTGACTGTTAACCAGAAGGCTGGTGGTTCAAACCCACTAGGCACTCCTTAGAAGAAAGGTTGGGCCATCTACTTCCTTGGTGATACTGCCTTGGATACCTATGGAGGGGTTGCTATGAGTCAGGTCTGACTCTATGGCACATAACAACCACAATCTTTACGGAAGCAAACTACCACATCTGCAGACTTCTCCCAGGGAGCTGCTAAAGAGTTTAAACCACTAACCTTTCACTTCACAGCCAAATGCTTAATGATTGTGCCAGCGGGCTCCTTTTAAATCTTTGAAAAATCTGTTCATTTTTTCCCCCATTCTTTATCTCTTTTACGGTTTCTATATGAATAGATAGTTTCTATTGTATCTATTTAAATAGTTTCTGTTTCTCTGCTGAGATCTCCTATTTTTCCGTGTATCTCAAAAGTATTTTTCTTTACCTCATGGCTTTTTAAAATAGCTATTAAATATTAAAAATAAAGAGTATTTTCTTTACCTTATGGAACTATAAGCTATGTAAAATAGCTATTAAAGCTTTCGTTAACTAATTCCAACATCTGGGTCATCTCTGGGTTGGTGTGTAGTGATTATCTTTTCTTTGGAGAGTTGGTTGCTTTTTTCTGGTTTAGAATATTTTGGATATTGAAATATTTCTGGATATTTTGAATCCTAAGTTGTGAGATTCTGGGTCCTGTTAAAATCATCTGTAAAATATTTTTGTGTATTTGTGTGCCTTTCTTGCAGGGGGTGTGGGTGTGTTTTAGCAATCAACCAAGCAGTCAGCCTGGTTAGGTTCAGATTGCAGCTTCTGTCTTAGCTGCTGTGGATGGTAGTTCCGGTGTCCATTTAGTTTTCAGAGGCTTTGCTGTGCTGCTCTGGGTCTGTCCCACACATGCCAAGCTCACAGGTGAGCCTCAGACTTATGCTGACTCACACCATGAATTAGAGATTCTTTTTCTCCCCTCTGTAGGGTTCCATACCCACTCTGAGTCCCAAGAGTTCATTTTCCTGGTCCTCTGACTGGAAAGATAGGGTTTCTCTTGAAGTGTTTGCTGCCTGCAATGTAACCCACAAATCCATGGGGTTCTGGCCGTAGAGCAACATAGTCAATAGCCCACATCAGAGTTCAAGGAGACAGAGAACTTAATTAGGAGGTTCACCACTGAGAGATGGAGGGGGTCTTAATGACTCCAAAGTCATCCACTCTATTGAGTGTTTCCAAAGAAGGGTTCTTACACTAAATGAGGAGTAGAATATAGCATGTACACAAAGTAATGAACATTTCTTCAAAATCACATAAAACAATAGATGATCAGAGAATGCCCTCCTTTATTTCTGGCACATCGTGCAAGGCTGGCCTTCTTCCTTATTGGAGATGGCATCATTGATTACTGTCATCACAGTCCACGTGGCTTGTCACAAGTCTCATCAGTGTCTGCTTACATAAGTGATCACATCTTATAGGATGCAGCTGAAACTGATGGTTATTTTCAGAGGAAAACAAGTTAATAAATAACATAGAGATGAAACTGAAATCAAGATGGAGTCTTACTCTAGAAATATGGAGTCAGGCCTAACAAAGCAAAAATCTTTATCCTCACAGTGGTTCTGCAACTAGAGCTGCCCTAAGTCAAAGCTAAGGAGATAAAAGGGGGGAAAGAATTTAGAAACTCAACTTCCTATATGGGTTACTTCTTTTAAGTTTTAACACCCCCACCCACCCTAGTCCCTCACCCCCCATTCTGCCTGTAGTTCATTTTGCAGAATCCTCAGCTAGTTTCTTTTGTTTTGTTCAGAGTTCTGGGTTGCAGTCCATGGGAGAGCTAGGCTGTGGTGGTCTTACTCCATCTTGACCAGCACAGGATCTCTCTTCAGACTTTAAAGACACACTTTTGACACAGTATTTATTTTTTTCTTTTAATTCTTTGAAATCTCTTTACTATAATAATTTGAACATACGTAGAAGAAGAGAAAATGACCCATCACTCAACTTTATCATTTACATTATGTTGTAATTGACATTTATATTATGTAAGTTTACATTATGTCTTAATTGCCTTAGGGTTTATTCTTTTTAAAGAAACAAAAGCATACAGATTTGTGGTCTCCTTTGTATAATTCTTGATCCCATTCCCTTCTTTGATTTTTACAGTTAACCACTACCATGTGTTTTGTGTTTTTCATTATCTCATACATGCGCTGAAACTAATTTTGAGGGTCTTAAGAATGTAACATTTGCTGATTGGTCTTTATTGCTTATTTAATAACATCTTTAATGCCATCTTAATAGATTATACCTTCACTGTTTATTCATATTATTATACTTAGTACAGTGACCAAATTAATTCTTGCACCTTTAATTAAGATTTTTTGATGTGTGGATATTTTAGCCTGACTTGAGCTGAAGTTTATATTCATTCCAGCCAATTTTTAGTGACATTAATAGTGTGAAGAAGATAATTAACACTTTCAAGTATTTTAGAATGTTACCATATGCAAATCTATCCTGCCAATTGCAGTTTGTTATCTGTTTGCAGTTTTTTATCTGTTAAATTGGGTACCACAGAATCAATAGAGTAAGTGAAGATGCTTTTTTGATGATATATTTGAAATAATAACAATTTCTATAAGAAATAACATAAATCACTAAAGAAATGAAATCAATAAAAATGGATCTGAATGGTCAAAGATAAGAAAACAGGGTAGCAGCCAAGAAGCAGAACAAGGGAAAAAAAATCAATGGCAATTAGAATAAACTCTCTCCTGGAAAAAAGCAGAGATATTCAGATTGAATTAATAATCATAACAACTATATGCATTATAGATGCCACATCTGAAACAAAATGATACTGCTTAAAAATAAGAATGGGCAAAATATATGAAATGAACAGAGAGAGAGCAGTGTTGTTTGTGTTAATATTAGACACTAAATTTCAATGTAAAAATCATTAAAAGAGATTAGAAGTTATTTATATTGAGGAAAGACAGAATACATAATTAAGATCCAATATAACAAACTATTAGACATAAACTTGATATAATATTTCTGGAAGACAATAAAAAAATGTGAATCAATATTCTTAAAAATACCTCCTGGGAATCATTGTGCAGTGTGCATTAAATTCAAGCACAGAGATACACAACTCAGAACTCATAACAGAAAATAGCCAACAATAGAGAAAAGGTTATATAAATTATGGTATATATGTTCCACATAAGATGTAGACTTTAAAATTCTATGTAAGAACTTAATGACAAACACATTAAAAATATACATATGTAGAAAAAAAGGTTAGATGGCAATGTGCCAAGATATTAGTAACAGTTAATACAGTGACAGTATTGGGTGATTTGATCTCTTTCTTTATACTTTTTCTGATTTTTCTAGATTATCCACAGTGGACTTGCATTAATTTTTATGATAAGTTAGCTTAGAAATTTTAGAAGGGTCACATTAACCCTAAAGCTGATTCCAAAGTCTAATGCAAACTCCAAATTGTTTGTTTAAACTTTTCTAAATAGATATTAATTTTAGAATCATTCAGATAAGAAATACAGATACACTTTTTTGTGTTATAGCAGATTTTTTTTTAATAGGGCTTTGCAATTTGCTGATGTAATTGTGTTATTTGGTGCAAGATTAAATTGGATTTTGCATTTTGGACTGCCTCCGCGATATCGACCAGATGTGAAGTTTATCCAGGTACTCGGAGAGATTTAAATCACAACTATTTGTAATTCACTGTTCTCTCTTTCAGCCATTACCAGCTCCTCTTTCTTCTTGGCTTTTGTAAATAACTTTCTCTCTTTTTATAAAAGTAGAATTTTATAAATTGTCTCAAATAATTATAGGTGCCAAGTAAGCTGGGAGCTCTGGTAGCATAGTGCCTAAGGCACTTGACTGCTAACCAGAAGGCTGGCGGTTCAAACCCACCAGCCACTCCTCGGAAGGAAGGTTGGGCAATCCTACTTCCGTAGTGATACTGCCTCGGAAACCCAAGGAGGGGTCCCTATGAGTCGGGGCCGACCCGACGGCACATAACAACAACAACAACAACAGCAACCAAGTAAGCTGCCTTTTCAAGCCTAAGAAACATACCTACTAGTTCACTTCTACCCAGAAAATAAATAAATAGCTTGCAAAATAAGCATAATTTGCCTTTTCTTCATTTAAAAACCAAAGACACATAAAACCTAGTTGTGTCAGGTCAGTTCCCACTCAGGGCAACCTCATGTGCATCAGAAGAGATCTGTGCTCCATAGGATTTTCAGTGGCTGAGTTTTTCAGAAGTAGATCTCCAAGACTTTCATCCAAGGTATATCTGGGTGGACTTGAACTTCCAATCTTTTGCTTAGCAGCCAAGCATGTTAACCATTTATATCACCCAAAGGATCCCCTCTTTTCCATAATTCAAAGTTGTTGTTGTTATTTGCCGTTGAGTCAGACCTGACTCATAGTGATCCCTCCTTGGGTTTCTGAGGCGGTATCACTACGGAAGTAGATTGCCAACCTTCCTTTCGAGGAGTGGCTGGTGGGTCGAACCACCAGCCTTCTGGTTAGCAGTCAAGTGCCTTAGGCACTACGCTACCAGAGTAGAAAAGAGGTTTAAGTAGAATGGTTGTTGTTGTTGTTGTTATGTGCCATTGAGTCGGACCCGACTCATAGCGACCTCTCCTTGGGTTTCCGAGGCAGTATCACTAGGAAGTAGATTGCCCCATCTTCCTTCTGGGGAGTGGCTGGTGGGTTTGAACTGCCAGCCTTCTGGCCAGCAGTCAAGTGCCTTAGGCACTATGCTACCAGAGTAGAATGGTAGACAGAGCTTTAAACCAGTTCCTCCTTGTTTGCATTTCCACTCCAGGTATATTGAATCAGATTTTCCATTTTAATGAGATCCCCAGGTGATTCTTAGGTATGCATCATTTAACATCTGTGATATATTCTGTAAAGTAGGGTGTTATGTGATCTGGATGTTGTGCGAACACCATATTAAAACCTTATGTGAGCCTGCTTCTGGGAGTCGTCTTTGCTGCTGCCGCCACTGCTGCTAATAGAAGTTGGAGGAATGGGCACTGGCAGCAGCAGTGCCTGAGAGGGCAATGGTGCGAGTAGAGCAAGAGGAAGCAAGACTGGAGGGAGTGGAGTACACCCAGACCCACCCACTATTACACTCTCTGGAGCAACAGGAGCAGCCCAGGCCTGAAGTCCCCCACCACTTGCACTCCAGACACAGCCCAAGAGCCCACACCTAGAGCTCTGCCTTACCTGCCTGTATCCCTTGTGGTCCAGTGCTGCAAGAGTCTTAAGTTTGAACTCTTTAAGACCATGAAAGGAAAATAATAAAAAGAGCTGCTTTCCCTTACAAAACAGAACTTATGGAACCGTGGACATATATGTTAAGAGATGCATACCTGTACATAAGAATCAACTGGGGATCTTGATAAAAGGTAGATTCTGATTTAGTATATCTGGGGTGGAAATGCAAATTCTCAGCAGAGAGTCAAACCAGAAGGAACTGGTTTAAAGCCCTCATAATGGGTTAGAATGGAACATTCAATATTGTTAGAGATTGAGTTCTTTTAGTTGCAAAGACTTACTTTTACCCTCTACATCTCTAAACTATGTTGCATTTACCTACGTGATTCAGATAAATACACTACTTGGAGCAATTGGTCATGGGAGAACAGAAGGGCAGTGTTTGCAGAGACAACTCAGGGGGTGGAAGTGCATGGGAGGAAGGATTTAAGAGGTAACTACGGGGAGAAAGTGAGAAGAGAGCTGTTAGACTGTGGGGAATTGCAGTCACTGTCCTAAGACAAAATGTCTGAACTGCTGTATAGAAAATGGATTTGCTTTGTAAACTTTCACCTAAATCACAATAAAAATTAAAAAAAAGAAATGTGGTACCTGGACCCACAGCATCAGCACCACCTGGCAACCTATTAGAAATGCATTTCTCAGACCCTACCCCAGATACATTGAATCAGAAACTCTGAGGCTCTACTCTTGGTTTTAACAAACCCTCCAGGAGTTTCTGACATGCTCAAGTTTGAGAACCCCTTTTGTAGATGTTGTTATATGCGGTCGAGTCGGACCCAACTCATAGCGACCCCTCCTTGGGTTTCTGAGGCAGTATCACTATGGAAGTAGATTGCCCCATCTTCCTTCCAAAAGTGGCTGGTGGATTTGAACCGCTAGCCTTCTGGTTAGCAGTCAAGTGCCTTAGGCACTGAGCTACAAGAGCTCCCCCTTTTGTAGATAGGAATTTCCAAATGTAATTAAGTAGAACCTTATTATTTCTTAGATTTAAAACTAAATTGATCAGGTCAAACATGCTAAAATTCCACAAGTAGATTTTAAAATGAGGGAAATGATGAGGTTCTCTGTACTAGCTATGATATTCATATAGTTGTTGGGGTTTCTACTTTTACTAAAGGGCTTCTTGAATATCACATTTTCTTTTATCATATGTTATATATACATAGTTAGTTTATTCCACCTTAATTGACTTCTTAAAGATTTTTCAGAATAAACATGGCTTTTTCTTCAGGCTTGTCTCTCTTTTAGATTGATATCTGTGCAGAGGAACTGGGGAATAATGTAAGGCCTGCTGTCACTTTACTAGGAGACATAAATGCTGTAACTAAACAGGTGAGCACCTTCTCCTGACTTAATCTATGGGGATTGGTCTTTAAAGAACAATTCTTGAAAACATTTCTATTTTGATTCACTTGGTGACAGGATTATTAATACCTATTTCAAACAAAATTTATGAAAGAAAAGTATTTCTTATACATAATTTTGGAACTTGGTGACTGTAACTCCTTGCTTATAGATCACTTTTATAGGGGTAAATTAAGCATTTCTGGAAGGTGATTGAAAATTTAAAGGCATTCAGTAGGTAAAACAGTGATTTACTAAATATCTTTATAATACAGCTTTCAAAGGAACTGAATTTATAGCCATGAAATTGCTTAGGCACTGGGAAAGTCTCAATATTTCTACAGATGATAAAGAGCTTTTTACTCTTCAAACTGTAGTCAGTGGCTTGTCCAGGTTCTGATTATTTGTACATAATTTATATATTTCATTGTAATAGGAAATAAAATATTGTCACATTCATTACTTGATTTTGGCTGATACAAATTGGTATTGTTAACATGACTACACAAAAGAAGCATGGAATTCCAAATTAACATATTAAAACACACTGGAGCATTTGTTCTGTGTCATAGGAATCTGGGGTCGTCAGCCTTCTGCAAAGATTCTCTGGAATGTGGCGGATTTCCTTCTAGAATTCAAGACTGAGGAGGATTTAGGAATCTCCTGTCTGTGAGGTGTAGCTCTGCCCTGTGGGAATCCCAGCATCTAGCAGATATACACACTGAGTCAGGCAAAAGCTTTCCATGTTCCCGATGTATCATCTATCAGCTATTTGCTGCCTCGAGAAAAACCAGCATACAGTATAAATCCTATGAGGGGTAGGAGAGAAGAACATTATTGTCTTCTTTAAGAGGAGATTTTTTTTATGTTAATATGATAAAGTTTGTTTTCAAATAGGTAAGGAAAAGTTTGTGGTTTTTTAGCTTTTAGAACAATTTGATGAAACACCGTGGCAGTATCCTCCAGAGAGCACATGGTGGAAAACTCTGAGAGAAAAAATGAAGAGCAATGAAGCTGCATCCAAGGTAATATGGGACCCTTTGAAACTCAAGAAAAGTTTAGATTCATGTTTCAGTTAGTTCCATCGCAGTGCAGCATACACATTCCTAAAAATCACTGGCCTGTGCTCAGTCATGGGATGAAAACCACAGGACTTACAAGAATGAGGTTAGGTGCACAGTACTCAAAAAGTTTGCAGCACATGAAAATAAAATGATGTGTGTCATTGAGTAGCACAAATATACACACATTAAGTAGTTAAGAAATGCATATATACTGCAATAAATATGGCACTCTACTTGAAAATGACCTGAAGTTTGTGGAAGTGGATATCTGAAGGGTTGTAGCTTGTACATTAGTGTGAAGTGGTAGGAGGGTTTTCTGAAAATTGGATGGAAATATTTAATACCAGATATGGATGGATGTGGCTCATTGTCCTCAGTTTGATGTCAAAACCAAACACCACAGTTAATCTTTCCTAGCCTTAAGTCCTGGGGCATGTTTTTCTGCTTTAAGTGTAGGTTCTTTGAGACATAACATTTAATTAAATTTAATGTTACATTAAAATAATGCATAGTCTTATTTTTCAATTTCCTTTTGTGTCACTGCTGGAAATTGTTTTACAGCTTTCTCATTTGCACTCGTGGCTTCTCCTGATAGCTTTGGAAGTTGTGGTGATATTTGAAACTGTCAAACCATGCAGCGCTAGCACTGAAAGGAGCCACTTCTGCAGAATTTGATGATTTTGTTTAAAGTCTTTGCATGTGCGTAGTGGCTTCTCTTTGATTGTGAGAAAGGTGGTTTCTGATTTTGTTCATTATGCTAGGTATTCCTGCATGTTGGTTCAACTAGGTGCATATTTTTGCTTTTACCTAGTATTTCTCACTGACAGAATCATGCATAAGCAATACAAATTGTGTTGGAACAAATTCCCATTTTCAAAACAAGCGTTAGGGCACAACTAACTGTGCATGTCTTATTTTGGAATTTTAATCAGCGGCTGCTTCTATCAGGAATCACCTTCAATTCTCTTTGCTGAAGTATCATTATTAATGTTCTCTCTTCACTAAGAATCATCTTAATTTAAGATTAAAGGAACTTGCTTCTGGCCTCTGGTACAGGGATGTAAAGGGGCCATTTGTCTATCTTGGGTATAATCTCAGACAAAGTAACACCGGGGGAGAGGCATCATTGGGGCTGATAGGGCCAGAGAGACGTTGCTGCTAACACCCCATGTCACCTTCTCTCAGCTCTGGTAGGCATATAGCAAAGGGCATTTACCTGACTATTTTCCTCCATTTAGGGACTCCCTAGCTTAGTGGATGTAGTACAGTTCCTTTACCCTCCAGTGTGTGGGTGTGAGGGGGAAAGAACCAGACTTTCAGATTGTTCTCTAAAATCCTGACGTTTAAACTTTAAGTTTAGAGACATACCTTAACAACTTTAGAATAAAAATTTCACTGTTTCTAGGGCAGTGTTTTCCTAAAAGTGCTCAAATAACATTGATTGGTTTTGTTTGGACAGTGTTTCCCAGCTGTCTTTACTAACTGGATTCTCATTTTTCATAACATATCAGGACTAATCATAGGTCAAGTAGCTTCTCAGAATAGCCATTGGACAGTCATTGGCAACTTGTAGCTTGTAATTATTGATTGCCTGCTGGTTTGCCAACTAGGTTTGATAATAGCTTATTAACATTGTTTATTTTCATTGTATTCCAATCTACTATTTTAGGAACTAGCTTCCAAAATAGCCCCACCTATGAATTATTACACAGTGTTCTACCATGTTCAAGAACAACTACCTAGAGACTGTTTTGTGGTAAGCGAAGGAGCAAACACTATGGACATCGGACGCACTGTGCTTCAGAACTACCTTCCTCGTCACAGGCAAGCCTTCCAAAAAAGCAAACGATGTAGCTCTGTTGTTTCATTTTAACATATTAACACAATAATGTAAGTTAGTAAGATGATTGAGAACTACATATCTTCAGTGTATAGGAGCATAGTTCATCACAGTATAAGGTTTTGCAGTTTTTATGCTTGATAAATCCTAGCGATCATGTGATAATCTATAGCTCCCAGTGTTCTGAGATATATTCAGTGCTCCAAGCAGTCATAATTGGCATTTTCTCTCATTCTGCCTACCATGCCATATTAGTTTTTCACATCCTAATAATTTTATTTGAAGAAAGACCATGGTTTATTTTTTATTTTCCCATGAGCCATGTGAATGCATCCAGAAGGTTTGTGTTAACCCCACCCTTTGTAACATGCCTCAGAAAGTTTCATTTGAGCTTTGTTTTCCCAACAGGCTTGATGCTGGTACATTTGGAACAATGGGTGTTGGTTTGGGATTTGCCATTGCAGCTGCTATAGTAGCTAAAGATAAAAACCCAGGGCAGCGGATCATCTGTGTGGAAGGAGACAGTGCATTTGGGTTTTCTGGCATGGAGGTGGAAACCATCTGCAGGTAAAAAAGCATCTTGAATCTGAGTGTTTTCATTTTCCAAAATATGAAGAATTACACTTAAAACTCACTCCCCTAACAAATGTTTATCAAGTATTCCCCATGTGCCAGGCACTGTGCTGTGTCCTGAGGATACAAATAAAAATAACCCAGATTCTGTCTTCAAGGACAGCATGTTCAGGGCCTCTTCTGGGGTCACATGGCCTAGATTTAAATACTGGCTCTACCACATCAGAGCCAAGTGACTTTGGTTAAGTACTTAACCAAGCATCAGTTTCCTTTCCTTTAAAATAGGAACAATAATCTTTCTACCTTAAAGGACAGTTGTGAGAAACAAATGAGATCATCCAGGTGAAGGTGAGTGCTCAGTGAATATGAGCTCTTCCATTATGTTGTGGGATTCATGGGGAGGCTTCTAAATTGTAGATCCTGCTCTGTTATGGGGATTTTATTCCTGTCTTTAACATCCTGTATTTTATATCCTATATTTAATTGTAGTAAAACCATTCTATTCGCAGTAAAACTTTTGTGAATCATGATTTGGGGCTTTTAAACTTTAGTATGTAATACTCAAGATCAGGGGAAAGTATATCCCTGTTAGAGTGTCTGTATTAACAGCCGAGTGAACTGATTGACTGAGAGATGATTTGTAGGGAAGCCAGCCTTCTACAGAGTAATAATCCCCTTTTAGAATGGAGAGCAAATAGTTACCAAAATTCAAGGCTTCAAACTGTTTAGAAACATTTCAGTCATGGCTGACGGAAACAAGGGCAATGTACGCATTGCATAGCAACCAAATCTCTTGTGCATGGGATTTTGACCTGAGCAGGAAACAGGCAGCAGTGCCTTGCTTTGTGGTCAGCCACCAGCTCCCAGCAGGGTCTCAGTGCATTTCCTACTTTGCTCAAATTCTGATGTGCAAGAGCTTTGGTTGCTTTGCAATGTGTAGGGGGCCTTTGTTTCTGTAGACCCTGACTGAACTGGTTTGAAACAGTTTAGTTTTGTTTTTACCACTTGGCCTCAGAAATATGTCTGTAGAAAATAAAACCATATTCTTTTGTTAATCATTAATAAGGCTTAATCAGACCTTTTTTTGTTTTTACCATACTGTTTAAACTCACTGCTGTAGAGTCAGTTCTAACTCTTGGTGATCCCCATTGGGTTTCTGGGCTGTAAATCTTTATGGAAGTAGATTGTCCCATCATCCTTCTGTGGAGCAACTGGTAGGTTTGAACCATTGACCTTCTGGTTAGCAGCCCATTGCTTCATCCACTGTGCCACCAGAGCTCCTTAGAATGTGATTAAATATGATCTTTTCTCCTAGTTAAATCATATAATGTTTTTCTAATTATGAGTGAAAGTACTTTCAGGGCAGAGAATGTTTGCTTGTCTCTTGTGTACCTCCCACTGTATCAAGCATATGCTGGTTGTCTAAGAAAAGCTCAAGAGCTCAGTAATCAAAAAGTTGCTTTTCAAACAGGCTCTGAGGTAATGCTTCAGAGGATAATAAATAGGGAAGGTTATTACCACTGGATCCATGAACACAAAAATTCAGAGAAGCTCAAGATTTGCTCTAGGTACATAACTAAATAGTGGCAGAACCAGGCAGATATTTAGATCTACCGACCCCAATCTTACATTCTTTCTACTGCTTCATGATGTTTCTATATAAGTGGTTTGATATTCTTTATTACGATAGTAAATGCCTTATTTTCAGTCTAATGCTACTAACAAGCATACAGAAAATGATAACCATTTATAAGTTAAAATTTCAACTCAAAGAAAAGAAATTGCTTTAGAATTAAGAGTGATTTTCTTTGTACTTTGCTCTCAATTTTAGGCACAACCTGCCAATCATAATCTTGGTGGTGAATAATAATGGAATTTACCAAGGTTTCGATTCAGGTACTTGGAAGGAGATTTTAAATTCTGGAGAAGCTGCTGCTGTGTAAGTAACCTAGAACAACATAGATGCACTCTTTCTCATTTATTTTCATCTTGTTTAAAAAATTTTGCTATATCTAAATGTGCTGGTGTGGTGGTGTTCTGCTTATGTGATGTCACTCTGACAAGAACATACCACCAATGGGATGGCTTGAACAAACAGGAGTTTATTCTCTTATAGTTTGGAGGCTTTAAGTTCGAGTTCAAAGTGCCAGGCTCTAGGGGCTGGGTGAAAGCCCCTCAACCTTGGGCTTCAGCTCTGCCTCCTGCTCCCGGCCCACTGGAGCTAGATGTATTTTTTCACTCAGACAGCTGCTGACTGCTGAGGCTGCCAAGTCCAAGGTTGATGAGTAAAAAGGCACAGTCTCGATGTTACCAAACCACATGGCAGGCCATTCATTCGAGTCCATTGAAAGTCCCAAAGTCAGCAGAGCATGGCAGGCTGCTGAACAATGACATAGCTACATGCAGGGTTCAAGCGTGCCATAAGCTAGAGACCATCCCCAAAGCTGTTTCTTATATACGGGAAGCAGACCACATCCGTAAGGCAGCTACTCAACTGCTCCAATGGATTCCACCATGGAGTTAATTACCAGTCTCACCATGAGGAATACCTACACTCAGCTGCCCAGCCACTCAAGTAGGCCCAGCCAAGTTGACACACAAACTTAACCACCACAGGTGTGAATATTGTTGAATTCAGTTGTCAGCTCCTCTAAACAGCAGGCACCATGTGCCTGATTCCCCTTTGTAAACATATCCATCTCTACTTTGAGGAGGCAGTTTTTCCCCAGACATATTTTGAGGACCTTTCAACCTGAGAAAGGAGCTCTGGTGGTGTTATGGTTAAAGCACTGGGCTGCTAGCTAAAAGATAGATGGTTTGAACCCACCAGCTGCTCCACAGGAGAATGATGGTCTATTTCTGTAAAGATTGACAATCTTGGAAGCTCTGGGGGACAGTTCTACTCTGTCCTATAGGGTTGCTTAGAGTCAGAATTAACTTGATGGCAGTGGATTTGGTTTGGGTTCTCAACCTGAGAGGCTCATCTTTCAGCAATGTATCAGACAGTGTTTGACCCCATGCATAAGGTTTTTAGGAGTAGACTGCCATGTTCTTCTTCCTAGTCTGTCTTAGTCTGGAAGCTTTGCTGAAACCTGTCCACCATTGATGACTCTGCTGGTAACTTGAAGTACAGTGGCATAGCTTCCAGCATCATGACAACATGCAAGCCACAACAATGTGACTAACTGAAAGACAAGATAATAGTATGCCTGTAATTTCTACTTATCTTACTTCATAGATTATTTCAGGTAATTATTTTTTTCTAAAAGCCTTTAGGTTAAACTTTCTTAATCTTGAACATCTTTTTCAGGGCCCCTCCAATGTGTCTTCTGCCAAACTCCCATTATGAGCAGGTCATGATTGCATTTGGGGGCAAAGGGTATTTTGTACAAACACCAGAGGAACTTCAAAAGTCCCTGAGACAGAGTCTGGCAGACACAACTAAGCCCTCTCTTATCAACATCATGATTGAGCCACAAGCTGCAAGGAAGGCCCAGGTAAGTGTGATTGCTAAATAGAAAGCAAATAAAACATCTGTCAAAATAAATAAATAAGTAAAAACCACAGAGAAAAAGGGTATCTGTTTACCAAACAGAATATCCTTTGGTATTCACAGAATTCTTTCTAAATTAGTTCTTAAAAAAAAAAAAACCAAACTCACGGCTTTCGAGTCAGTTCGACTCCTAGCGACCCTTCTCTGGGTTTCTGAGGTGGTATCACCTCAGAAGTAGATTGCCCAATCTTCCTTCTGAGGAGTGGCTGATGGGTTTGAACCGCCAGCCTTCTGGTTAGCAGTCAAATGCCTTAGGCACTATGCCACCAGAGCTCCCAAACTAGTTCTAAGTTAGGCAAAATCATTTTTCAGTGAATATTTGCTGAGGTATGCCTTAGGTGCTGTGTTAGGTGCTAAGAACAGCATGGTGAGCAAAACCAGGCCCAACACTCACCTTCATTGAGTTTTCAGTCCAGGGGCGGGAGATGAGCAGTCCAGTAACCTCACGACTGAATTCATCATGATAGAGTGCTGAGATTTCTCTGAAGGAAAGGAACCCAGTTCTAAGTAAACAAACAACGAAAGAATTAGATTATATCAGGGTCATAGGGAGGGCTTCTCAGACGAAGTGATGCTTCAACTGAGATCTGAAGGATAAGTAGGGATGAACCTGGCAAGGAGAGGGAAGAGATATGCACAGGCTCTGTGGCAGGAGAGAGCATGACACCTTTGAGGAACTGAAAGGAAGCCAGAATGGCTAGAAGGCAGAGTGGATGGAACTCAGTAGGAGGTGAGACTGGAGAGATGGGCTAAGTGTGCTTTTCGGAGCAGTGGGGAGTCACTGCAGAGGCTTAAGGCAGTAGAAGTAGGATGGAGCAGTGTGGAGAGGGGAGGTGATAGTAGATTTTCAGTTTGAAAAGCTCCTTCTGACTCATTTTGAACATATTGGAAGGCCATCAGAGATGTTGCTTAAACATCAATTACTAGGCTTATTGCATAAGTCCAGACAAGAGATGGCAGAAGCTTGGTTTAGGGTGACAGTGGTAGAATCAGGAGTAGAATGGTGAGATATTTAGGAGATGAGGTTATCAGAATATGATGTTGGCCAGTATGTTGGAGGTCCTCAAGATCACATCAGATTTGATAATTCACTAGGAGAACTCACAGGACTCAGCACGTAGTCATACTCACAGCTGTGATTTATTATAGCCAAAGGATGGAAAGCAAAATCAGAGGGAAAAGACACATGGGGCAACATCTAGGGGAAACCAAGCACAAGCTTCTAGAGTCCTTTCCCAGTGGAGCCACATAAGCCATGCTTAATTCCCCCAGCAATGAATTGTGACAACATGTGTGAAGTGCTGACAACCAGGGAAGCTCGTTAGAAACTCTGCCCAGGGTTTGAAAGCAGGGGCTCAACATAAACCATATTGTTTGTACAAATAGTTTAGGCACAGTGAGCCACTGGTATCAATTCTGGGAACAGTGAGAACCTTCCCTAAATCCAGATTCCCATATGCCAGCCAAAGGCCAACCTTGTAAACAGGTCTTTCCAAGGACAGCAGTCAGGCCTGCTATGTTAACCCTTTTCTGCACAAATGGGAAATGAGAAGTGAGGGTGAGAGAGATAACAAGGTATAACTCTTAGAAAACTGATTCATACAAATAGCTATAAGGTGGCACCATTCACTGGAAGAGGACTGAGTTCAGGAGAGAATTTCAAGAGTTTGATATTAGACATTTTGGGTTGGAGTGTCCTTTGAGGAATTCAGGTAGAGATGCTTGCTGAAGTGAGCTACTATATGCGAGGTCTGGTGCTTAGAAGCAAGATCTGCTGAGCAGTCGGTATAAATGAGACAGTCCTCCCTATGTAGATGATCTGTGAGACTGTGGATGTGGGTGTAATTGTCTATGGTGAGAGTAAAGAGTAGGAAGAAAAGGCGGCCTAGGCCCGAGCCCAGAGGAGCCCTGGTATCTTATGGTCTGGGGGGGGATTGCTGCAGCAGGCCTGAGGAGGCGGAGAGGCAGGAGGATGTCCACACACACTCTGGAAGCTGCTGCTGTTGTGGGTGCTTCTCACACTGCACTGCAATCACTGACTGAAACCCTTTCCAGGAGGCAACAGAAGGTTTTTAAAAAATTATTGTTTAAATCTCGTCTGCATTGTCTTATTACTTACTGTTAAACCCATGGTTGTTCTTATCTTTTTTTTTTAACGTTATTGTTGTTGTTAGGTGCTGTTGAGTTGGCTCCAACTCATAGCGACACTGTGTACAATAGAACGAAACACTGCCCTGTCCTTAACCAGCCTCACAGTTCTTGCTATACCTGAGCCCCTCGTTGCAGCCACTGTGTCAGTCCATCTTGTTGAGGGCCTTCCCCTGTTTTGCTGACCCTCCACTTTACCAGGCACGATATCCTTCTCTGGGGAATGGTCCCTTCTGACCACATGACCAAAGTAGGTGAGACGAAGTCTGGCCATTCTTGCTTCCAAGGAGCACTCTGGCTGCACTTCTTCCAAGACAGATTTGTTAGTTCTTCTGGCGGTCCATGGTACTTTCAGTATTCTTTGCCAACACTACAACTTAAAAGCTTCAACTCTTATTTGGTCTTCCTTGGTCATTGTTTGGCTTTCACATGCATATGAAGCAATTGAAAATACCATGGCTTGGCTTAGGTGTGCATCAGTCTTCAAAGGGACTTTTACAGCAGATTTGCCCAGTGCAATATGTCATCTGATTTCTTGACTGCTGCTTGCATTGGTGTTGATCGTGGAATCAAGTAATATGAAGTCTTTGACAATTTCAATCTTTTCTCCATTTATCGTGATGCTGCTTATAGGTCCAGTTGTGAGAATTTTTGTTTTCTTTATATTGAGGTATACTCCATACAGCAGACTATAGTCTTTTTTTTATTGTGATTTGGGTGATAATTTGCAGAGCAAATACACTTTTCATACAGCCAGACTATAGTCTTTAATCTTCATCAATAAGTGCTTCAAGTCATCCTCACTTTCAGCAAGCAAAGTTCTATTATCTGCTTATCGCAGGTTGTTAATGAGCCTTCCTCCGGTGCTTTTCTTCATATAGTCCAGCTTCTCAGATTATTATTATTTTTTTAATAGAGACACTTTTATTTGGACAGAACAAAGACAATCATTTTGGATGAGGGAAACCATCAGCCTGAGAATGCTGAATGGAGTCCCCCAAGTCACGGCCGTGTGGCTAATTATATATCTGTCCTTTATCTTTTTGAAAAAATTGATTCTGCTGCTACTGATAGTTTCCTGATATCCTGACCTTCCCTCATATTCATCCCACACTCTGCACTGTCCTTTCCTACCAGTCTGTGCTTTGCCAAAGCTTACCTGTCCTTTAATACACCCTTGGCAAATCCTGTTCTCTCTTCTGAATCATCCCAGTCTCAGCTCTGTGTCCTCTGAAAGGTCTTCCACATAGCACCATCTGTGCCTCACATTTGGTGCTTATCCATTGCCTCATGATATAGTCATTCATTTACACGTGCTTCATCTCCCTTACCAGATTATAAACTTGTTGAGGACTCCCCATCTTTACATATTTTGTAGCCCAATGAATGAATTGTAGACTTATTTGTAATATAAGACAACTTAAGGCATTACGTTCAGAATTAGTTACTTTGGCCTCCAAAACAAAGCCACAGTGAACATTATGGCAGTAAAATAAATAACAAATTGTGTAGCGTGTTCCACTCTCATACTGGTTGAAGTTGATTTTCGTATTTCATTTTGTCCTCAGGTCCTGGCCTGCTGCTTCCCCTCCACTTACATGCTTGTTGTCTTGCTTGTATACCTTGATATCAGCCATTGTTTCCAGGACAGATGTTTTTTTCAAATGCTTTCTGTATTGTTTTTTATACATATATACATTATAGAATCTCTTTCTTTTTTAAGCAGTGCAAAGATGGGCAGATAGATAGATGGACAGTCAATGATATAGAAATTAACTGATTTGTGAACTATAATAATATATTAGAGAATTACACTAAAATTCTACTGTTTCTAATGAAAACATGTGTCAGAGGCTTTGGTATTTACCTCCAAGCAGAGAGAAGAGATAGGCAGGAAGCATGGTGGTGAGGAATGTGAATATACAAAATCTAGGCCAGTCGGGTGACGGGTGACAAGGCAGGTGGCCTCAGTGGAGGGAGCAGGCAGGTAGGGTTAACAACTTTCAGAATCTACTCTGTACCTCTGTGGGCTTATTGATTGTCTTTTTTTTCTTTTTTTTTTTAAAAAAAAAGCTCTGTCTGTTGAATTAATTTCTGCTAAAGAGATACCAATAGATAGGTTTTAAAATCGGATGCCATTTTATTGATAACTTGCCAATGACTAGAATGTTAGCTCTGCAAGCCAAGACACTTTCCTCCTGGCATCAGGGCATCAGAGTACTGTGGAAACCAGAGCCACTCTAAGAACCCTGACGAACACATACTCAACACAACCAAAAGTGGGCAGACGTGAGACTTGTGTTAGTCATCCATCTGCCCACTGCCATTGAGTCGATGCTGACCTTTAGTGACCCTATAAGACAGGGTAGAACTGCCGCATAGGGTTTCCAATGCTATAATCTTACAGAAGCAGACCGCCTCTTCTACCTCTCGTGGAGCAGCTGATGGGTTTGAACCTCTAGCCTTTTTGTTAGCAGCCCAATTCTTTAACTACAGCACCACCAGAGCTACTTGTGTTAGTCACATACCAGTCTAATATTCCCCTTTGCTTGTGAGTTTACCTTTCTAATGATCTGTACTCCAAGTTGTGTATGAATTTTGCTTAGATATTACTGGAGAAATATAATTTATTACCCTTCCTTTTTTTTTCATAATTTTATTGCTTGCATTTGTTATTTCAACATCATTTATCTTCACTTCAGTAGAATTCCAAACATCTCATAGTCTTCATTTTCATTGACTGCCTGTCTGTCTGTCCAGGTGCCATTCGTCACTGATTCACAGTGTAGGTTGGCTGCTTCCTGCTATACCACTGGCATTATGTGCATCTCTGTGGTAGCCTGTGCCCCACCTTGTGTGTAGGATAGTATTAGCCTAGGGCAAGTCATCTGTGTATAGCTCTTCCTTCCTAGGCTCTTCTCTGACCTAGTGGTTTTGGCCACTTTAGTGTCTTCATTGCTTTTTTTTCTGGGAGTACCTGTGGTTCTTTCAGACTAATTTTTTTGTGTCCTGGTTACTATTACTGAAGGAGGTCCCTGAAAGTCATTTTAGGTGGTTGTATAGCACAAGGTAGTAAGGTTTGCTAATGGACTTTTAGCTGGGTGGCAAAAATGGTTAAGCTCTCAACTGCTAACCAAAAGGTTGATGGTTAGAACCTACCCAGGGGCACCTTGGAAGAAAGGCCTGGCAAACTCCTGAAACAGCACAGCCTTGAAAACCCTGTGGAGCACAGTTCTGACAAGTCACACATGGGTCAGAAGTGACTCAACAGCAACTAGTTTTTCTTCTTTTTTTTTTTTTGTAAAAGTACTAGAGTAAAGGCAAACTTCATTTTACCTCTACTGTGGCTACAGCTGAACTTGGAGATTTCAGAGCAAGCAGGACAGTGAGGGCATAGTTTGAGACAGTTGTTTCTCTTTGGGTTCACTGGACTTCTAACTCAATGCTTGTCTTTTTCAGGATTTTCACTGGCTGACCAGCTCTAATCTGTGAATGAAGATGCCAGCGGTGGTCTTGAGGAATCTCTTCTTTCCTGCAAGATGGAATGTATCTTCCACAGCACACTTGCTACAGTGTTAAAATTGTGCAAAGAAAAACATAATGTATCTTGAATGACATTTTGTAGTAAAGGAATTAATTGAAAGAAAAAGTTACCAGTATTCTTTCACCAAGACAACCATTTGAAGATGACAAAAGAAAAGGGATTTTATTAAACAATACCATGTTAACTGCCTAACCGTGATTTACACATTGCTGTTCTTTTACAAGGAGCTCTGGTAGCATAGTGCCTAAGGCACTTGACTACTAACTAGAAGGCTGGCGGTTCAAACCCACCAGCCACTCCTTGGAAGGAAGATTGGGCAATCTACTTCCGTAGTGACACCGCCTCAGAAACCCAAGGAGGGATTGCTATGAGTCGGGTCCGACTCAATGGCACATATCAAGAACAACAACATTCTTTTACATGAATCTATTCTTAAAATTACATATCTTTTTAAAACATCTTCCAAAGAAAAACACTAAGAATTGTCTAATGTAGAGAAATGTTCAATGAGCTGGGGTCCATGGATTCTTTCTACTTTATATTTTATGTGTTGGGTACTTGGTGCTACAATCTTCCCCAGTATTTAATGGGACTTATTCTACATTTTATGAGGTTTTTTCTTCTTTATCTGGAAAGAACTCACTGCAACAAAGGAGAAATCACACCATACCCAAACTATTAATGGTAGGGTATATTAGCAACCTTATTTTATGCGTACGTTGTATTCAGACAAACAGTTAATAGCCTTAATGTATTAAAGAACTCATAAATAATCAATAAAAATTTTAATTTGCCATTAGAAAAATAGTCAAAGGGCATAAATGTATATAATGCACAAAAAATACAAATGATCAATAAAAATATGAATAGATTAGAATATCCAAGTTATATACTGAGAAATATTTCATTGCTATTCACTTAGCAAAGAGCTTTTCAAATTTTAATCCTCAGTTCAGGTGAGGGTGAAGTGAGATAGGGACTAATGCTGTTGGTGGAAGTTAAGATTGGCACAGCATTTTTGTAGAGCAATTCTAGTATTGCTTGTATTTGGGATCTTTGTTCCTTCATGCAAAAAATGGTGTGTACATTGTCAGGCCTCCTATAACTTCACAAGGGTAAGGAAAGAGAGTCAAGATCGGCATCTGCACAAGGCTGATTCCTATGAGGTGGAGGTCAAACATACCTCCACTCTCCTACCTTTTTACCAATTCTGACACCAGTTGACACTCTCCTCTGCTGAGTTTGATGATTTGTTGTAATGACTACACAGAGCTCATAGATCATACTCACAGGGTTTATTAGGGAAATAACAAGTTACAATTCAGAATCAGGAACAACTTAAGATACAGTTCTTTGGTCAGGACAGCTTCTTGGTTGTACCCACAGGCAGGCCTTTCTCTTGGTACCTCAGCCTGGCTTCCACGCTGCTCAGGCAATTCTTACAGCTCTTTCTTTAGGTACGCAGAGAGGTGCCTGGATGCCAGCAAGCCTCCTGCCCAAGCTGCTCAGCTCTCTTGCTCTGTGGGTCAGCACACCCATTGTAGTTGCCTTGCTCTGTGGGCCAGGAAGCCCACTGTTCGACTCTTCTGTTTCTACTGCCACCATTTCTCTGCACTGAACTCTGCAATGCTTGCTGCTTTTCACTGTTACCATGCCATCTCTTGCTATATATATTCAGTGTTATGGCTCTGTCTCTTGGATCTAAGAGGTTCTCAGCTCAGGGACCCCAGGTTCAAAGGATGCACTCCACTTGGCTCTCTTCTTGATGATAATGAGGTCCCCTTCTCCACTTCTAGTATTGTCTCCCTATAAACCTAGCAGGATGGCAAAATGTGACCAATCCCTTGTTAGGGTTCTGTGCACCTTATTTGCGTGGTCCCACTCCCACAAGGATTCTATGCATATTAATTGTATTATTAACAAGTTGTTCACAAGCATTTTATCTGCGAGGTCCCACCCAATCATTTGTGGCAATCATAAGATCATGAATGGCTAGAAGGTCTATATTAAGAAATTCCACCACAATCAACATCATAAAATAAAAATGTTAAAGAATATTTATTAATCTAGGAAAATAATCACAATATAACATTATATGAGAAAAGCAAACTACAAAATGGAATGGATCCAGTTTTGTCAGGAATTACATGTGCAGTCACACATAACATGGGGAAAAAAGACTGGCACAAAAGAAACCAAAACTTTAATCTGTCTTGTGGTGATGAGACTATATGTAACTTAATTTCCTCTTCATTTTTTTTTTCCTGATTTGAAAAACAAAAATTTAATTATCACAAACTGACATTTTAAAACAACATTAAACAAGTATCACTTATTTTTAGGGTCATTCTTATCACCTGCAATTGGCTGTGAACTGGAGTATAGGATGTTATATATCAAAGTTCAGCCTGTTTGCGTCATGCGCGTTAGACTTGTGAGCATTGGCTGCTTTGGGGGATAAATTATCACAATGATGGATTCAGTTTTGAGGTGTGAACCCAGGAGATTCTTGCTGGGAGCTTTGGTTTTACCCCTGTTATGCCCATAAGTGCTTTCCTCTGGCAGCCAAATGCAATACTGAAAGGTGCTGTGGAGGGCTTGATGAATATTCAAGAATTGAACTATACAAACCTGTTTTTAAATATGATATAAATTGGGGGAAATGCCCCTCTCCTAACCATGCTCTCTCAAGAGAAAAATGGTGGCCAGCTAGTAAACTGTCCAGTAGAGGTCAGTGTGCACGTGTAAAGACCAGTGTAGGCCAGGGGCACTTTAATGACTGTCCATTGACTTCCTAGTTTGTACAAATGTCTTGAAATTTGTTCCCTCAGAAAAAATTTTCCTTAAGTGGCTAAGGTATTGAAAAAGTCCCTTTGAAGTGCATCTGTTATTGGTCCATGGTAAAAATTTACTTTGATACATTTTGCATCACGTAGTTCAATAAGAAGGACCTCTTGTGGCATAGTGGTTAAAGCATTTGGCTACTAACCAAAAGGTTGGAGTTTCGAACCCACCAGCTGCTCTGAGGGAGAAAGAAGAGACAGTCTGCTTCCTTAAAGATTTAAACCTTGGAAACACTATGGGGCAATTGTACTCTGTCCTACAGGGTTGCGAAGAATTGAGGATGGCAGTGGATTTTTGTTAGTTCAATAATGAACACTTTTGCATGATCCTAGTGTGTGTAATACTTCAGTGCACCATAAAAACTAAACTTTGAAAGATTATGGTTATTTTCTTGCTTTAAGAAAACTCAATCCAGGCTTGAGGAGATTGATGGGAAATGATTTCGTAGGTTAGTTTCTCTGCTAATATTCTTCCCCCAAGTCTCATACTTCATGGGATTGTTTGGGGATTCACAAGCTATCCGGAAGCTCCTAGCACAACACGTGGCATATAGAAGGCACTCTGCCACAGTGTTTTAGGAAGATGCAACTTTAAGCAGAAGAGAACAGTGGCTGGAATTACGTTCTGTCTAGCAGTGTGGTTTTCCAAGTACGTGAGTCTTCCCCAAGTAAATTAGACATTTCCTGGAAGGCAGGGGCGTGTACTTTTACTGTCATACGACCACACTGCTCTGCAGGGGCTCACGAAGTAACAGTTGAATGAGAACTCATGATGTTTAAAAATAGCTCAGTGGAGATTTTCTGTTGCTGTCTCTCACACACACAGCTTTAAAGTAGCTCAGTTCATTGGGTGAGTATATTTTCCTTAAGAAAAAAATGTCTCAAGGAAATAATAAGACTTTTGAACACTGAAGAAAAGTAGATAGTACTAAAATGACAATACTACTATTTTCAAGGCACTTAACTAGGCAGTGAGGAAGAAATGCATACCATGAAGTGGCTCATGGCTCTGAAGTAAATGCAAACTTAGAGTGATTAGAATAGAATTTTATATGAATGTGTTAGGTAAATTGGAAATCAGTTAAATTTTGGATACAAATTGTGACAGAAACCCTGGTAAAACGGACTCTGCTGACTGCTATGTAGAGTGGATTGTCTTGATCTTCCATCCTCTCCACTCCAAGGCCTGTCCTTCCAAGAGAGAGGCTAGCTGGTCAATGAACCCATGATTAACTGTGGTTGTACGATGTTACGGATTGAATCGTGTCTTCTGGAAATGTGCAATTCTAACTCTGGTGGCTATGGGTGTAATCCCATTTGGGAATAAGGCTTTCTTTGTTATGTTAACAAAACCATATCAGTGTGGAGTATGTGTTAAACCAATCACTTTTGAGATATAAAAACTGATGAGGTACAGAGACAATCAAGCATAAAACGGAAGACAGAAACACCTGTTCACCAAGGAACTAAGGAACGTCAGGGCTAGAGAAGCTGACGAAAGGATGTTCCTCCAGAGCAGACAGAGCGAGCGCCTTCCCCTAGCACTGGTGTCCTGAATTTGGACTGACAGCCTCCTAAACAAGTAGCTGTGGTGCTGTGGTGGTTAAGGCATTTGGCTGCTAACCAAAAGGTCAATGATTCAAATCCACCAGCCACTCCATGGAATAAAGATGGGCCAGTCTGCTTCTGTAAAGATTTACAGCTTTGGAAACCCAACAGGAATCACTATGAGTCAGAATCAACTCAATGGCAGTGAGTTTTTGAGGCACCCTAAACAGTGAAGAGGAGCTCTGGTAGCATAGTGCCTAAGGCACTTGACTGCTCACCAGAAGGCTGGCGGTTCAAACCCACCAGCACTCCTCGGAAGGAAGGTTGGGCAATCCTACTTCCGTAGTGATACTGCCTCGGAAACCCAAGGAGGGGTCGCTATGAGTCGGGGCCGACTCGACGGCAAACAACAACAACAACAACAAACAGTGAAGAAATACATTTCTGGTTTTTAAAGCCACCCACTTGTGGTATTTCTGTTATGCCAGCATGAGCAAACTAAGACATAAGCTTCCACCTCTAATTAGGAAGCAGAAAAAAGGCATACCTAGACATTTCTGGATTTCCAGATTCAAATTTTGAAGGGAACACTTTAAATATTTACTCAAACCTGAAAATGTCCACTGAGATAGCATCACCCATGATTTTTCTTTCCTTAAGGAAGAGCTGAAGCAAGAGACCATGCAGTGGTAACTTGGAGCAAGCTCCATGGAGGGGC